GGTGGCGTTTCCAGGTGGCACAACTTGATGGGGAATGGTGGATCAACAAGCTGGGCACCTATGGCATGGCAAGTGCCCAACTATATTGGGGCAGGATGGCGGCCCTCCTCCTCAGACTCTGCTACATGATCTTTCTGCAGGTGGACTGGGGGTTTGTCTTCGTTGATGACTTCTGCTGGCTCCTTAGGACGGGCACGGCCACTCAGGACATGGCCAAACTGCTCCTTTTCCTGGCGGTCCCCGCTTGCCTTGAGTTGACACAAGACAGTCCTCTCTGAGGTCAACACATGGTTGGGATTGTCAACCCCTGTGGACCTGTTGTGGACTTCCCCATGCACAGCAAAAACCCCTTCGGATCCCTACTCAACAAGATCATTGCTGGCAACTCCTTCACTGCAAAGGACATCGAACGTGCTCTAGGCCGTCTGAACTGGGCCACATCAGCATGGCCCCTTAGCCGTCCTTTCCTCCAACCTTTCTGGGCGTGGAAGGCTGCTACTCCATCATCTGGAAGGCCTAGCAAACCCATCAGATCCTTTGCAAGACTACTTCTCCACTTGCTACACCATCCCCAAGTACAGCCTTGTCCATACGACCCGCTTCCAACTGGTGGGGAGCTAGTGATGCTAGTGCGCACCCAGTGGATGGGGCTTACATTGGGGGATGGATCGCGGACAAAGAAAACCCTTCTAATAAGGAAGACACATGGTGGTTCCATTACAGGGTGCCATTGGAAGATCATCATTGGGCCCATAAGGATGGTGACCCGACTAGACGGATTGCTGCATTGGAGATGTTTGGCACCTTGATTCTCACCCATTTCCTTTGATCCTGGGAGGCAAGACCCTGTTGCGTACTAGACTTAGCTTGATCTCTGACAATCAAGGCAACATCTTTGCACTGCTGAACCAGAATTTCCTTATGCAACTCATCGTCGTGCTCCACACGGCCGGGGTCCAACTGGGACTTCAACCAATGGGCAGATGAACTCACTCATTCCCAATATACTGGCTTTCGACCTGACCGACAACTACGAGTGAGCGAGGTTTTTCTCATTTTAAATTCTTATGGGCCCTCTTAGATGACCAAACGATTGGCCCTGCTTGTGTTGGATCTAATTCCAAACGTCGTAAGACCGACTCATAGGCCACCTAAGGTCCACTGGAGCCTGGTGGTCGCGGCTGACTTTCTTCCACAGCGGTGGCTTCCACACCCAAACCCGTTTTTGGACTCCTCTCGCGTGAGCCGATGGCTCCGGCGGGCTGGGTGAAAAAGATGTGTGACACCATCACTGGTCTTTTGTGGTTTCAGGGAGACCTTTGTATGGAACTTGATGCATTTGGCATCAGACAGAAACCCAGCCGCACAGGCCAACTGCATAGCAAAAGATGATGTGCTGCTGCAGTTGACTGTTTTTGTTTGACATGTTCAATTCTATTCGGGAACACAGAAATACATACATACATACATACATGTATATATATACATACATACATACATACACACATACACACATACATACATACACACATACACACATACACACATACACACATTCACATACATACGTTGACATACATACATACATGGATGCATACATACATACATAGACATTGACATTGACATTGGCATTGACATTGACATTGACATTGACATTGACATACATACATACATTCATTGACATACAGACACATTGACATTGACATTGACATACATACATCCATCCATCCATCCATACATACATACATATACATACATTGACATACAGACACACATTGACATACATACATACATACATATATACATATATACATTTACATACATTGACATACATGCATACATATACAAATGCATGCATGCATGCATGCATGCATGCATGTATACATACATGCATACATACATACATACAGACATGCATGCATGCATACCTACATACAAACATACATACATACATACAGACATGCATACATACATACATACAAACATACATAGTATATGCATGTCATAGTAACAATTCAGCACCCCCCAAGAGATAGAAACACATCCCCAGGATGATGTAGATTGCAAAAGGGAAACTACAGTGCTGGCCAGCGCCAAAACTACCAATTGCTTGTATACGTTCATTTCACAGTTTTTCCCCAGATAGCCAAGCTATTGGGCTTCTTACTTCAAGTATAGGATGAGTTGGATATATGCGTTTTGGAGATCGCCTTCTCCAGTTTGGCAATGATGGTGGGAGTGACTTCTTCCTTCGTTTCTGGCCCCATTCTCCCTGTGGGGCCCGTGCAATTCGGAATTCCTCGCGGCAGCCACTTTTGTTTCTAGCGAACCTGCCTATCATGACAGGTGTCCTTCCCAAATTCTCAGATCCCTTGCGCTTCTGCGTGCCGAACCGTCCAGAGTCTACCTCGACAAACTCCTTGTTAAAGTGAGCTTCCTCAGCATAAGAGCGTTTTGCAACGGTAAGATCAGCTTCAGTAGGTGTGCGGCTGAGTCGCTCGCCGCCTTGCATCCCAACAAATAGCAAGCCTTGAGAAACGCGGCGACGTGGCTTAGTCTGGTTCGGCTCCATCAGTAGCAGCAAGACAAGGGAGAAATGATAGCAGCGGATTGGTAAATCCTGCGCGCGCAGCACAAACTTTGGTTTGACACCCCCATGTGGTCTGAGTTGTCACAGGACAGGAACACCCTCAGCCCCCAGCAATGAAAGACAGTCAGACAGCTCCTTTTGACCCCGTGCTTCTCCAAATACTTTTTGGCGGCAGACTGATGGCGCAGATCTCTTCATATGGTTGCATGATATCCTTCAACCCAGATCCGAACTGCTGTTTGTCCGAAGCGTTTCCTGTGTAGGCCAGGCCATGCTTGGTGCGGAAGCGGCGATTCTCGGCCCGCCCGCTGTAACCCGAATTTCTGAGTAGGTTGTGCTGGAGCAAGCGCTGCGCTTGCTGGGCAGCGGCGGCATCTCACCAACTGAAGCGACTGCGGTCCACGCGTCGCCTCTTCTCAGCGGACCTCCGATCAGAGCAATAGGGTAGGAGCACGTGGCGTGAGCATAGATGGTGCGTGTTCTATCTATGCCGTACTGTACTTATGTGTCATGCTCACCATGCACTCACCAGCATCGAACCATCCTAATCTTATGTCGAGATGCTGCTCCAACCAGGAATAAGCCGTCTGGGTGGATACGTCTTTCTTCTCAGATCTGCTCAGGGCTTTTAGGAAATTGTCCAAAAGCTCCGTGTCGTAAAGCTTCCGGGGCAGGTGCTCGGACCCGTGCCTGGTCCCAAGCGCTGTACCCGGTCCACTCGACCGCGTGGGTGACCCCCCCCGTCGGTGAGCGTGCTGAACCCCGGCATCAAGCTACAGGTCTTTTCTTGGTGTCCAGTTACAACCGCGCACACCTTCCATATCAAGGTCCCTCTTGGTCTCCCTTATCACATCTTCCATGAGCAGCAAGTTTCATGTAAAGCTTGACAGGGGTGGGAATTTACAATCCTACTGCCCTTGCTTGATCTTCCCAGCTGAATGTGAAGTTTACCTGGGGTGGGAATTTATAGTCCTGGGGTGGGTATATATACTCCTAATACCATACATTGATGTTCCATAGCAACGTCGCTCTTCGCCTCCTATTCCAAAAGTTTGAGATGTTCAACCCACTTCCGTCAGTCCTCACTTGAATCTTCAAGTTGTACCTACTGCAACTTCCTGTGCGTGGCGCTCTATCCTTCGCGGTGCATCATAATGTTACATGTCTTGTATGGAGAGGAATGTATGTATTATAGATATTGAATGCCACCATATACCTGTAACAGGCAGTAACGGTTTCAAGGCACAAAAATGATACAATCTGGAGGAGCACCAGCAATCATGCTTTATTGGTTGCCAATATTGTACGTTCAAAAAAAAGGTTTTGGAGAACTTTGTTGCTGGAACTGATTGGATAACAGTGCTTCAATTTTTGCGTTTGATTATGGGCTTGGAGAACTTTGGATCTTCATTTTTGGATACTCTAGTTTGCATGTTGATTATGCATGCACGAGTATATAATATGTATGTATGTATGTATGTATGTATGTGTGTATGTATATATATATATGAGTCCGGCCCCCGCACGATGGTATGGTCACACCCCCCTCCCCACCTCCCAAAACCTCGCATTTGTTTCAGCATTTGGGAGGCACAGCCTCCCATTTGTACGTTTTTTTTGCAGCATTGAAGAGCCACAACTTCGTCATACCTATAACCTGTTTATATACTGCCTATAGGCTTATAGCGTACCTCACACAAAATTTACTTCTCAGTGTATGCCTTTATACTTCATGTTTGCCACCTATACGTTAGTCAAAGCGTACCTATGCATACCTACATGCTATGTATCTGGACGCAGCATATACCTTCAAACCTATATACTTCAAAAAAAACTAAAAATAAATACACCTACTAACATCATATACCTATGTATAGCATATACAATGCCTCATCACTACTTATATACTCCTTACACCTGTATAAGACCCAGCCGCCCCAACTAACACAAGCGGAATGTCTACCGCCTGCACATGTTTCATAGCGTACCTGTATACCACTCAATGCATATCGTGCCGGTATATGATATATCTATGCACTCCCTGTCTACTGCCTAAATACCTGTGGACCCCCCAGGCCACAAGGGAAGGGGGAATCATGTGGGCGGGTGGGGGGAGGAGGGGTGGAGATCCCTGCTCATACACACAGACATCCGTGGAAGTGTCCAAGATGCCAAGAAGATGTGGCAGGTTGTTATAGACAGTGTGCATGGAACGCCTGCACTCACAGATTGTTGTGGTCAGTAAGCTTCTTGCTTGTTCGTGTGATATGCAAAGCAGCGCAGTCTCTTCTCTCTTCTCAGTATTCTGCTATATTCTGCTCCTCTGCCTTCTTCAGCCTTTTGGGATCTTTTAGGCATTCCAGCGGCAGATCGCTGCGTTTGTGCTTGTTGGTCCCAGACACTGATCGAGGACGCATCATGGGACCCGCGATCTGAGAGACTTCGACGTCCAGCGCAGCTTGCTTTGTTTTGTACACCTTGATCGTCTTGCAGGGTGGAATCCGGATATGTTTTGACGCAGGATCTTGCTTTTGGAAGACAAGTCCGCTTCCAGCTGATCTCCAATTAATTTCAACAAGAATGTTGGGTTTCATCCTTCCCACATCCTATGTCCGTGTTGGCCTTCTTTTTCCGACAATGCTCGGAATTCAGAAATGTGGCATGAGATGCAGATGCAGAGAGGATAGTTTGAATATGTTTGAACTTCCTCTTTTCCTGCAAGACTTCAATTGTGTCCAAATTATGGTTTGAAAAACTTGCCTATGCCAGTTTGTTCAAAGGTTGGAACTTGCCGCAAGCCTTGCCGAAGACACGGCCCAGAAGAAGGCAAGGAGTCACAGCACTCCTTCTTTCATGTGTCGGCACAGAACCCAGGGATAGCCAGGGCATCAACGTCGATACTATTCGATACTTTGATTTTTGCAAGCAGCCCGACGTTGATCGGTGTTTCATGCATGATTTTGTTCCTCTACATACCATAAGGTTCTTTGATTCTGGTTCTTTGCATGGTCCAATGGCAACATACATGTAGCAGCACAGAGTCAAATTCCTTCTTTTAAATTGTTGTGCGTTCTGCATACTGTAGCAATGTACAAAATGATTATCGAAGGAAGTTTAGAAGTCAAACTTCGGACAATATATGGACAGATGGAAAAGCAGAGGTGGGAAGAGTCAGAGAAGAGAAGAGAAGAGAAGAAGAAAGAAGATCAGAAAAGAGAAAGAGTCAGAGGAAAGAAGATGCTGGCGCACGAAAAGGTAGAAAAGTCTCGACTCACAGTGTTTTCCAAGGATTTGTGGCTCCGGAGGGTCGAAAAGTAGGCTCGCTAAAGCGACGGGTGCGGAGCCATCTGGCCAGATGAGAGATGGAAAATGGCACGCCCCTGCGGCGCGAAGCACATTTCGAAGTCAAAATGTACAAAGCACACCATGCTCGGAGCATTTTTAGAAGTTGACATGCCGAAAAAGTGCACGCCGTTGCGGCGCGAAGAAAACACGACATGCTCAGACCACTTTTGAAGGTTCAGATGTGGTTTTGCGTGGCAGGCGCAGGGGATTCTGCACCTTGCCAAAAGTGAGCAAAACGTGCGGGATTTGTAGCATGTCCAAAAACGATGGCAGGTGTGAGCATTTGAAGAGGATCTGGAAAGATGCATGTCGCGTGCGTTTCGTTTTTGATTTTGTCAACTTCGAAAATTTAGGATATTGAGGAAGTCTCGCAGAATTGCTTCTTTTTTGACGTTGCCAAGATGAAACATTGAGGAAGTCTCGCAGAATAGTTTCGTTTTCAAGCTTGTAGAGAAACAGATAGATAGACAACTACAACTACCACTGCCACTACACTACAACTACAACTACAATAACTACAACTACAGGTACAACTACATTACACTACACACCGCTAATTACATCACTCTACATTACAACAACAACAACAACACTACTACTACTACTCCTACTACTCCTACTACTCCTACTACTCCTACTACTCCTACTACTCCTACTACTCCTACTACTCCTACTACTCCTACTCCTACTACTACTGCTACTACTACTCCTACTACTCCTACTCCTACTCCTACTCCTACTACTACTACTACTACTCCTACTACTGCTACTGCTACTGCTAGTACTAGTACTAGTACCACCACTACTACCACTACCCCTACAACACTACATTACACAAATTTACGCTACACTAATTACACTACACACTACACTACACAACACTACAACTACACGACACTACACTACAACTACAGCTACACTACTTCACACACACACGCACACTACACTAGACTACACTACACCATACTACACTAGAGCACACAATACGACAGTACACTACACTACAGTACGCTACACTACACTACATTACATTACACTACTTCACAACTACAACTACAACTACAACTGCACTACACTAATTGCACTACACTGCAACTACAACGCCACCACACGGCAACTACAACTACAACTGCGCTACACCACTACATCCCGCAGTTGTGGGTGGGGTGACCGCTGCAACCAGTGCAACCACTCCAAAAGAACACAACTCCAACCATCTGTCGGCCCAGTGGATTCGCTCGGGCATCCGTGATTCACAACAGCCAACTTCTCCTATAGGTTTCCTATTTTTGAAACTTCCGCCACCGCCTTGTGCGGTACCAGTGGTAGATGATGCGTATGCTGAATTTCAATGGACCAGTCACTGGTGACCAGTCCATGTCACCTTGGATCGTCAAAACAGGCGTTGCTTCGTGGTCTCCATGCTGAAGCGGCGCTCGCTTCAGCAGAATCCGCAGGACCATTTGCTGGCGGCTTTTGTGTCGAAGAGACGCCAGAGAAACAGTAGAGAGACAGGACCAGACTGCCACACATACGTGCAAGATGCAGGTTGCGGGGGGTAGGATCAGTGAGTGCCAGGCAAGCAAAATTTTGGGTCGGGTTTCTCAGGTGCTATCGTGGGTGGATGTTAACAATTCTTATGCAGGCTTTGGCAGACGCGGCAGGTGTTGCATCTTTGTCATATTATCTTGTCATTTCTTGTCATATCTTTTGGTCCGGTGCTTGAAGGAGCAGCAGCTGCTAGGGCAGTGCCTTTGACTGCCTGGCTTGAAAGGACTTCACTTTTGCCATGGCGACATGCTTCTGTTCTGATTCGTGTAGAGTGGAAAGACATGAAAAGACGGTGTTGGTGACAGACAATTGCTACTTTGCAGGATAGATTCCGTCACTGCTGAGCAGTGTTCGAAAGAGGCCCGCCTCTTGTTTTAATGTCGAGTGTGAAACAAAAAGACCTTTGCTTGGACAGTGATTGGACTCATGTCCATGAATTTTCCATCTGATTGTGGCTCACAAGCTGCCAAAATATGACTTGTATCATCTTCTATCTGCAGCAGGCATGTATACATTGTATGTGTCACACACACACACACTAGACAAAATTGGATCTTTGAAGAGATCCATCAGGAACTGAGTCCTGTAACGTGCAACCAGCCTAGACAATTAGACCTAAAGTAGATGAAGCAGGTACGTCGATCCAGCTTCCCAGATTGATATCACAGAATGTCATAGCCGTCTTCGTTGGCTGCAGAACTATGACATTCCCTGCAGCCCCCTGCTTTATTAAAAGGAGAGAAGAAAGAAAAACAAAAAGGAGAAGTTTTACATCTATTTAATTTAGATGTTACACACACACACACACACCCGGCCGGAGCCGGGTCAACCCTGAAAGGCAGGAGGAAGGGAAAAGCGGACACAGACGACGGGCAAAAGGCCAGAACTGCGCAGGGGGGGGAAGGGAACGAACGGACCTCCAGAACCAACCTACACGGCGAAACGGACCTGACAAAAACAGAGCACACACCTAAACCCCACGACACATTACGGAGAAGCACAGGGGAAGAATTAGGGACCGAATGGGGACTAGTTGGTGACGGGCGTGAAACAACAAAAAAGTAACCAAAACAGGACTCAGTTCAACTTACATTAGAAGTCGTGCGTTAGTCCCCTTCGGGACCGTAGTCAAGTCGTGCCGCAATGGCATAAACAGCTGTTCAAGTTCCAACGAATTTGGTGCACGATATGTTCAACCTCACCAGAGAACCATCAAAAGAAAGAAAGACCACACCTGGAAAGCGTGTGCCTGCCTGGCATTGATGTCATATTTTGGTCATCTGTCGCTGCAAAAGCTGGAGCTGCAGTAGAAACCAGGTTTCTGACTGTTTCGGCCATCTTCGACCAGAAAGAAACGCATTCCCAGGTTTCACAAAGGACGGCAGGAGCAGCAGGATATCTCGAAAAAAGGTGCATAACCGAAAGGCCAACTGTTTCGCTGTACTTAGATGAATTACCAAGTTAAAAAGTGTAAATTCGGAAGTCAAATTCGCCAACAGTCACGCACAACGGGGTTGCCTCCAGTGGCCCTATGGCGCCTTGTCGGCGTCACCATAGGTATTACACTAGACAAAATTGGATCTTTGAAGAGATCCATCAGGAACTGAGTCCTGTAACGTGCAACCAGCCTAGACAATTAGACCTAAAGTAGATGAAGCAGGTACGTCGATCCAGCTTCCCAGATTGATATCACAGAATGTCATAGCCGTCTTCGTTGGCTGCAGAACTATGACATTCCCTGCAGCCCCCCTGCTTTATTAAAAGGAGAGAAGAAAGAAAAAGAAAAAGGAGAAGTTTTTACATCTATTTAGATGTCACACACACCCACACACACACACACACGCACGCACACACGCACACACACACACGCACACACGCACAGACGTGACATGGTGGGCCGATGTGCCATCTCACCCGAAGGTTGCAGTCCTTCGAGCTTTGTCTGACTGAACCTGTCGCGCAACGGGTACAGGCCCCTCTTTCTGAAGAATTTCGCGCAGAATCAAAGTGCGCTCAAGGATCGGATCAGTGAAAAAACATGAACAGATAACAAATACATGAAGAATTGCTTGGAACTAATCAAGCCGCCCAACAAACCGAAACATGTTCTTGATTCAAAGACGAGGTGTTCTGGCCCCAGCCGGACCCACATTGAGCACAGTCTGGCAATGTGGAAGGAAAAACTGGCGCGGCTTCGCACTTTTGTTCGCAGAGGGTTCGGCGCAATCTAGAAAGAGAGCTGAATAGAGATGAATAGAGTAGAAATGAACAGAGCCCAATAGAGATGAAACGGGTGAATGGATTGGGCCGAAGTCGCTGGAAATGACCTGGACACTTCATCTGGAGCACCTAAATTCATCAGCTGCCTCTTGGGCTCATCTCCTTGCGCAGGAGCGTTTGCCTGAGGTAAGGGATGGGGTACGTAGTACTCAGCAGTATTGAATGTGGCCAAAGATGAGGCTGCGATCTGAGAAGCATGTCACTTTTACGATTTTTTGGACCATGCGAAGATAGAATAGAATTCAAGAACCCAATGTTTCTGAGGTCATGGTCTTTTTGCTGTTTACGCTTTTCCGTTCAGCCAGAATCCACAGTCAAGGACAACATAGCACGACCATTGCAACCACTGTGACGGTTTGTGCTTGCCTTGTAAAACCAGGCTTGGACCGTGCCACATGTGAAGCTCCAGCCTCATCAAGATGCTTAGGGTCGCTTCCCCGCCCCCTGGTAGCAAGTTCCAGCCATGGCAGAGGTGAGAACCGAGTTACAAAAAGAGCCACTGTCACTATGAGTCGCTAGAAGTGTCTAGATAGAAGATATAGTTACAGAAGATATTATTATTATTGTTTTTTGATGATGATGATGATGAATTATTTATTATATATATATACCTATATGTTATAGAAGCAAGCAAAGAAGTCAAAGCGAACAAGCATCCGCTTGCAAAAAGGAGCACGGCCCTCGTGCCGTCAACATACACACATCGCAATTCACACTAGCAGTTCTGTGCTTGCGTCATGCTAAGGTCTTCGAAGGCTCGATCCACGGATTATGTTTTTCACGGGTTGTTGGCGAAGTCACTGAATATTATATTACAGAATCAAGTACTGTAAGGAGGCAAGTGGCAGACATCTTGCGGTGAGCGGCTGACAGGCAGAGGGACAGCTCGCACGGCGAAACCCTTTTTTGTCCTGGCAGGGTAGGCAGAACGCGGGAAAAGCGCCAGGGTGTCAAAGTCAAAACATTCCAAGAACTGGGAAGGACAACTGGCAAGCATGCGTATGTTTTTTGGCAGAAACCTTGGGTGTATTAACTTGCAATCGCTTTTAGTTACTTCAATCATCTTCAATATATGTAATGGATTTCTATGGACTTCCTGTATATTTCCTTTATGCTTCCTTGTGGCATTGAGAAGATATTAGAGCTCGATTTCAAAAAAACGTAAAAAAAAATGTGGTTTTCGGAACACTTTGGCAAGTTGTCATTTCAATTCATTCGCTTCAATTCATTCATTTCATTTCATTCATGTCAATTCATTCGTTTCAGTTCATTCATTTCACTTCGCTCATTTCAATTCATTCATATCAATTCATTCGTTTCAATTTGTCATTTCAAACCATTCATTTCCCTTCATTCATTTCAACTCATTCATTTCGGGTCATTCATTGCAATTCGTTCATTTCAATTGATTTGTTTCGATTCACTCATTTCAATTCGTTCAGTTGTTCATTCAATCATTCATTCATTCATTCATTCATTTATTCATTCACTCACTCACTCATTCATTCATTCATTCGTTCATTCGTTTGTTCATTCATTCATTCATTCATTCATTCATTCATTCATTCATTTCCTTTGTTCACTTCGTTCACTTCGTTCACGTCGTTCATTTCACTTCATGTATTTCACTTCGTTCATGTCACTTCATTCATTTCACTTCATTCATTTCACTTCATTCATTTCACTTCATTTATTTCACTAGGTTTTTTCACCTTCAAGCATTCACTTCATTCATTGCACTTCTTTCGTTTCAATTGTTTCATGTCAGTTCTTTCGTTTCCAATATTTCATCTCATTTCATTCATATCAATTCGTGCGTTTCATTTTTTCATGTCAAATCATGCGTTTCACTCGTGTCACTTCATTCATTTCACTTCATTCATTTCGCTTCGTTCGTTTCAATTCATTGGTGTCAATGCGTTCGTTACAAATCATTGGTTTCAATTCACTCGTTTCCTTCCCCTCGTTTCAGTTCACTCGTTTCAATTCATTCGTTTCAATTCGTTCCTTTTATTTCATTCGGTCCAAATCACTAGTTTCAATTCATTCGTTTCAATTCTGTCGTTTCAATTCGTTCGTTTCAATTCATTTGTTTTAATTCATTCGGTTGCATTCGTTCGTTTCAAGTCGTTCGTTTCGATTTATTCGTTTCAATCCATTGGTTTCAATTCGTTCGTTTCAATTTTTTCGTTTCAACTCATTCGTTTCAACTTATTCGTTTCAATTCATCCATTCATCCATTCATCCATCCATCCATCCATTCATTCAATCATTCATTCATTCATTCATTCAATCCATCAATCCATCAATCCATCAATCAATCAACCAATCAATCAGTCAATCAATCAATCAATCAATCAATCAATCATTCTGCTCCATTTTCATTTCATCTCATCTCGTTTCAATTCAATTTAATTCAATTCAAATCAATTCAATTCAATTCCTTCATTTCAATTCATTGGTTTCAATTCATTAATTTCAGTTCGTTCATTTCATGCATTTTGTATTTCAGTTCAGTTCACTTCGTTCCAACTCACCAAGAACTCCTATAAGCAAACTGGTTCCTATAGCCTAGTCCTATTTTCGAAACTTCCGCCCCTGCGCGTGCCGGGCACTACCTGGTATAGTTACGTACCATTACTGGCAGTAGGTCAAGGCGGCACTTCTTCACAGATTGTGATTGCGCGCATGTATCAAGAAGGCTGGCAGCTGGCAATCACGGTTTGGACATATTTCCACAGTTTTCTTTCGACGTATTCCAACTCAACTTTGTTTTTAGCACAGGGTTCGGCATTCCCATGGATCCTGAGCTAGCTGCGTGCCACACCCAAGATCACCCAAGTTTCCAAGTTTCCAAAGTTTGTGGACTCTTTGCACATTGAACGCCTTTGCCTTTGCCTCCATATTTGGTCTTGAGGTACTGGTACCATTTGGGGTCCATGCAATCGGCAAAGGGCCTTGCCTTGACTGGACCAATATGGTACGGATGCCAGAGTGGTTTGCTGATATTGTAATCCAATAGTTGTGGTTTTTTAACACCAGAACTCCAAGTCTTCCAAGCCGCAGCAACATGTTTGTCTTGGGAAACTTCCGCAAACATTTTGTTTTCTCTTCACCTGGATCCTTGTGGAAGTTTGCTTGTTTGAAGGCCAACTTAGTGAGTTCGGGTTTCTAGCCGGCCTGACCATCCTTGGTCAAGTTTCACTTGTCTAGCAAAAGGACACTTGTGTGCTGCAGCTGCTGCAGTTGCTGGGTAGTTGAGGCATTGCCAAGGCATTCACTCATGGCTTGTGAAACACAAGTCTAAGTGCAGCTGATCACATGAGCTTGGCATGGGATGAAAGCATGTGAGAATGGTTTCCCACAATTTGGCCAGACCTTCCCAGACCTGACAAGTCTTGACAAAAAACATCCAAAAACCTAACTCAGTAGCATAATTTGGTGCCTGGCTCACATTGCTTTAGTCTTCTTTTGAGCCGATGCAATGGCTGTGGTGGCTGTGTGCCAACCAGGCAAGAAGACAAGATGTCCATACTGTGTAGCACATATTCAGGGGCCATCAAGAATCAGAGCCCTACATGAAGCGTCCACAATTCGGAAAGCACAATTTTCTTTCTGAACTACATCAACCTTGAACATGTTTCTCATGGCTATGTTTTGAACATCGCGCAGATGATATGACTGCTGCTTGACTGCCAAGTCCAATGCAAGCACAGCAAGAGAGAATTGCAGGTACAGGTACAGTACCAGCCCCGCATTAGTGACAAGCACGCGTCAATCAGAAGGATATGCGGCTGTAGCATACAAACCTGTGACCGGTATGGCCAAAGTCTGCTGCTAAAGCCTTGTCATTGTCCAACACAAAGGTCTTTCTCACAACCTCGCCTTGAGGATGGCAAGGTGATGCTTTGCCCTCTGCAAGCTGTAGGTGTTTGTGCAACCTGCATGACGACGACCTTTTTCTGTTTTCTACGCTTTTCTCGTTACAAAATAAATGTTACAGCGACAACATGCGCTTGGAGCAGGAATCTGTCAAGTGCGCTTTGTCCCGCGGTGCCTGCTAAGGTCAGACAGGTCTAAAGAGCGCAACGTGGTGGGAAAGATTCAGTAATTAATTCAAATTGATTCAATCCTGTACATGTCCGTTCTAGAATTGCACATAGTTGAACCATTCGCGCCGCGTCCGCATCTACTGTGTTTGTTCAAGGGGTAGAACATTGTAGAACCACCCTCCTCAGGGCAGCGATTGCGGATTCAGTGCCAAGCTGCGAAATGTGTTTGCAGGATTGACAAGCCGGCCAAAAACTGAAGACTGTGTTGTCGATTTGAGGCAGGACAGGGCGTACTCTTTGGCAGGAAACTGATGCGCTGTGTTAGTTAGCTTTTGCCCCAAACTTTTGAGTGATTCTGCAGACGCGGCCACAAAGTAGCATAAATAGGCTCAATAATTTCTTCATAGAAATCAAAGACTCTGATGGTTGGAGTGATCTGGTTTTGTCTCAAGGTTGGGATTTCAAGGATTGAATGTCCATCTTCAATGCTAAATTTGCACCTGATGTCTTTGAACCTGTGAAGGCTCCAATCCTAGCGCGATGCCAGAGCCTTTGAGTCCGAAGTTGCTTTGGGTTGCGCGTCATACTGTGCTACTTGTTGTGGCCCCAAGGATTCACATATGTAAGGAGAAAAGGCACGCCCTCAAAAAAAAGTGTAAATTTGGATAAATTCGGCGGTATACTGTGCAACAAGGTGGGAAGGCGTCCAAGCTCTGATGCCCGCACTGCTGTTGCTCACATTCTGCTTTTGTGAAGAGATCAGGTTCTTTTGACCAGGAAGGTCGATTTGGTTGTGTTTGAAGTTGAAAGGCTGCAAGCTAACTTTGCTTGATATTTCCCTAATATAATAGCATATTACGCATTGTTACGCAACTTCTTGCCAGCTGTTGGGCCAATAGAGGTCCATTGAAGCTCATCCAAGATGCATTCTTGTTGGCGCATCCCACTGCAAGGTGACCATGAAGGAATTCATGTTTTTTTGCTAGACCCTCATCATTCCCGATTTACTGTAATTCTTCTGATCCCTCCCCCTTCGCTGCGTCAGTCTTATTGAAGTTTCTGTGTTCATTCGGCTTTCGGGTTTGGTGGACACCAACTCATCAGCGACTGCCACCTGTCAGCACGAACAACATCGCTTTCACAAGACAAAAGCTCGAGGAATCCACCTGAAGCAGCAGCTCTTTTCGGATTTGTTGCTATTTCCGAAATGTCCTGCAAATCTTTATCTCGCAGGGTCCGTGCCGTTTTCATATTGAGAAAATCCCATGTTGCCACTTCTTTGGAGGGAGAATTGAGAATGGATGAAAATTGCGCCCGACGTAGCAATGTAAAGGAAAGAAACCTAGCTTGCAACATTCTTGAAGGTCAAAGTTGAAAGATCTTGATTCACTGCTTCAGTTTTCTGAGATGGAAAGGTGCCTCGGTTGTACACGCATGTTTTATTCAGTTGTCCGAGTCGACGCAAAACAAATCTCAGTTGTAGATGCGAAAACGAGATGATGACAATGTGTATGAACATGCTGATGAAGATGAATATTCTTTGAGAGTTTGTTGTGGCCATCATCCACCCCCTCCTCCCTCCACCCCTCCACCCACCCCACCCACCCCAGCCCACCCGTGTGCACAAGTGAAACCCATTGGTTCGTATCATTTGTTTTTGCACAGATGAGTCAGTCGTCAAGGTACTTTCAAAGATGTTTGTTTTTTTCAATAGCGCATTTTGCACTGCAACCTGTGCTGCCTGTTTACGAAGAGGTGACATTAAGACTCCTATCCTCATTAGGCAACTTACTAGGCTTTTAAACCTTCTCATAGGTCATAGACGTGGCGTTCCTGTACTTGTAAGTACTCTGGGGTTGAAGTCTTTGTCAAAATCCGGAATTCACATGTTACTTTAAGATCGTTTTACCATTCTTTCGGGTTCATGGGGTTCATGCAGAACTGTGTGTTCTCCTACATGTTTTCTCTTGGAAATTTGCAGGGTGTCCTGGCCACCGGTTGAGAAGCCCTCTGGCCATGATGAGATTGGGCCTTGGGCAGTCAGCGAGATTCTTTGAACATGTTGGTCTCAAGGCGCAAAGCCATTTTGTCAAAATGCCTGCAACGTGTTTAGAGGCTTCAGCTGATATTCTTGAATTCCGCATTGGGAAGCGAGGCTCTGTTTGCATTTAGCCCGCCTTCGATGTGAACGGAATATCGAGGAGCTCTCTTTCCGACAGGAATGCGAGGCATGAACTTGGATGCGTATTGACATTACGTATAGTTGCATGAGTCCTTATTCTGCATTGATGCTGTAGCTCATTATTTTCAATGAGTTTCATATTATCATACTATATTTCCGTGGCCCCGTCACATGCTTGTCCTTTTCTCACCCCTACTTCAGCAGGCACTTCTTGCCCGTGCTGTCGACCTCAGAGCTGACCGGAAAGAGCTGGGAGAGGCGCAAAGACAGCGACTCTAACAGTCGACAGTTTTGATATTGAAAAATAATTGAACCATATATTTAGAATAAAATTTCGAAGATTTTCGAATGCAATCAAAACGTGTTCAAGTCAATTCAAAGCAGGTGACTAACTACACATAGTCACATAGTCGCTGTGACAAATCACACACCTGGATCAGGATGAAGATGTCGGACAAGTGCTCTGATGATTAAACATGTGCAATCTGCACGTAGTTTGCAGACGGAACATGTCTATCCCTGCTTTATTGGCAAGGAGACTGTTCGATGGCAGAAACTGGCAGAGCACGAAGCTGAAATTGAAGAGAGGAGCACTGCAAGGACCACCTGCGCCGCAGCCAGCAAGCAACAGATCCTGACCCTTGCAGATTTGTGTAGATTGAAGCAAAGACAGATGGACCGCGCATTCAAATTTCTTGCGCCAATTCGGTATATGAGCCACTCCAGATAAAATGCTCTAGTAGAATTTGCGTTTCTTTCAAGGAGTGAGAAAGCCCATCGGCTTTTGGTGAATGAGCTCCAGGCCCTTCTTGCTCTGGATGTAGATGGGAATAGAATGGAATAGATGTCAGAAGGTGGAATTGAGTCTTGATGGATCTTGCAGCTCATGTTGAGCAAACCGATGCAACAAAAGTTCAAACAAGGTTGCCGAAATCCAGACAGAATCGACTCCTCACACACCGGAATCCACCACCAGACCGAACAAACATTACTGCTGCGTTCCTGTGCTCCACTCTGTCATCATACGAGTCTTCATCAGGAAGGTCAAAATGAGCTCAAAGCTGCTTCTGCTTCGTTGCGGGGTGTTTCGTCCTCAGTTTCAAATGGCTGAAGTTCTCACTAGAATAAACTGTGCGCATGCGCATGCGTCAGGTCTCAGCAGATTGGGTGATTGAAGACGAGCCCGAGAAGCGATTGGAGCAATCTAAGGCTTCCGGGATGCAGAATTTCACAAGCAAACGGGCAACATCCGGAAACTAGAAGATTTTGAAGTCGACTTCCAGGCTGAGTGCCGCCGTGCCAGGGATTGCGAAGAAGAGTACCAAGAGGCCGTCCGATCTGGAAATGTTCTGCTTTTCATTTCAAGCACAGAGCAGCGGAATCCAAACAGCTGAAAGTCCCAAGAACTTCTGCACTTTCTGCTTCCAAGGGTGAGGTATGGGAGCTGCTTGGAACCTTAGCTCCCAAGATTCGGGAACCGCTACTTGATTTGGAACCTTTTGTTGAAAAGCCTTCCGGAACTTGGCTCTTTGACTCCTTGCAACTTTAGCATGGAACATTTACCCCGCAACTTTTCCCAAACTTTGAGAACAGTCCCGAACCTTTGCGAGAACTTTGGCTTCAAACCTTGTCAATCTTCCAGAATCCTTCCCTCGAACCTTTGCGGGACTGTGAAACGGAACCTACTTCGGAGCCTGCCAGAAGGCCGCCTGGGAACTCGCATCATCATCATCATCATCATCATCAGCATCAGCATCAGCATCATCATCATCATCAGCATCAGCATCATCATCATCATCATCATCATCATCAGCAGCAGCAGCAGCAGCGTCATCGATGCTGGCCCTGCCATCACCATCGTTTTCACTATGATCGCAACACTGTCATGCGTGCACCAGCTGATAGTAGATGTGCTATCAACATCCCCCTGGCAATATCCCTTACAAAGCCAGGAGGTCGGGCTCCCAAAACAACCAAGTTTTGTACAAGTACTTTCCTCTACAAAGCTTGGATCTCACGCTCTGACATTGATGCTAAATTGACTGTTATTTTTCAACATAAATGAATCCTAGCTTTGTAGAGGGGTGTTTTTGAGCCTGATGTGAAAAAATGTAAAAAAAAAATAACCTTATCCATCTTTGTAGAGCCAGACCCTTCTGATTTTCAATCATTTTTAATTTTGTAACCCAAAGAAATTTCATATTTTCACCGTTTGAAATTTGTAGTGGGAGTGGGTTTGTCTGCAGAATTAAGTAGGTTGAGGTTTTTAAAGTGTAGGTTTGTCCTTGTTTTGTAGGTTTGAACTTTGTAACTGCCTGTCCCCGTTGCTTTTTTTTTTCTGCTGTGAGATAAGATTTTCCTCAATGATTTGATGAGATATTATGATATATGACATATATTTTGACTTTGAATGAATAGATATGAGCATTGAAACCTAGTGCATTATATATATATGTATATAATATGTATGTGTTGTTTGATAGAATTTCTTTGGGTCCCAATGAATAGCAAGCATGAACATCCATCATCAAGCAAGAACAAACTAGAACAAATATCTGAACACATCAGGGCAATCTAGCAAATTCCATCAAATTCGTATCGGGGATCGGGGCGTTACAAAGCTCGAAGAAAATAGGATTTTTGGGTGCAAGCTGATGCTAATTTGGCATCTTTTTAACAACATAAATGAATCCTAGCTTTGTAAAGCCTTATGTTGTGAAAAAAACACCTGTCATAGAGCAACCTGGGTCTCGAGCTTTGTAAGTTTTACATTCTATGACGGGCCCCCTGTTTCAACTTTGTAGAGGCCAAAAAAAACCTGATACTACATTTGTGGTTACAAAGCTCGGCTCCCAAGTTACACATGGAATTCACAGGGGGATCTATCAACCACATAAAGCACAAACCTTTGGCCTCTACCGCATTCTACTGCTAGATATGACTGTGCGCTTCAATGGAAAAAAATCAACGGCGCCCTTTTCTCAAAGCGGATTTCACGTGTCCTCCGAACCGTGTTCGAGCAGGCGCAGACCAATATAGTTGCAAAAGCTCCAATACTTATCCGTCGATCAATTGCAATGTGTTTCAGCATGTTTCAGCAATGTCAAAACTTGGTTTGCTTTGGAAGGGGTGCCACCAAAGAAACTTGTCAAAACATCAAGTACTTCAATCAAACATGCAAGACATAGTCCGTCTATCCTCCCTATGTTGTGCAAAGATGTGCAAAGAACCTCGAGGTTCTGATTGTAGGCCGAGGTAATTCAAAGGCCACAACCTACCTGATACATCACTGCAATCACCATTATTGTTATGGTGAAGTCAGTGGTGACTGTGTTTTCCTCCTCTTTGTAGCCCCGGTTTCTGTACCAAGGTGGGAGAAGATAGGGTTTGAATTCACCAGAATATTGTTTGATGTTGTTTTTTCAGTTCCTGTCCGACCAATATGTTCTTACATTTGGGGCATGTATGCTCCCCAAAATTTCCTCTCCTACTCCCAGGCCTGCTTCCAAATTCTGGTTCCTTTGTAAAAAAACGTGCAGGAACCACTAGGAGCACATTGTGCAAGGACGAGCATGACGAGCATGTGTTTTAAGGGTTGGGTCCGAAAAATAGGTGTAAATTCAAGGCTCGCATGTATTGTTGGGATTCCCGGGTCCGAGTCCAAAAATTGCATCTCTCCTTGCTGCCTGTAGGCGCTATCGGCCTCAAAGCAACTTGCCCGCTGTTTGCGGAACAAACTGGACTCCTTTACCCAGGAGACCAGAACCATACTTCACGTCACAGATGACAGAACATTTGTTGCATTTGTGTTTTCATGTGTTTTCATAATTGTATTACATTTGTGTTTTCATCATTTTGGCCAATTTGGCTGCCAAAGCTCTCCATTTTCAATATTTTTGCGGTTAGGACACATTGCGGTCCACTGCTGATACAGCGAAGTGCTTTGCCTGGCATTTTGGTCAGCTTGGTTAAATTGTCAGCCAATTTCATCGTCTTGTTCAAGGAAAGAAAGGAATGAACATGAATGAACATGCATGGCAATTGTTTTTCTTGTAAATGTTCCTCCACCAGTAGCTTCATTCGGGGTTCTTCCATGGCAGCAAAGTTCGCTACTACTGGGTACTTCGCAATTTTTGCTGCATCATGCAGGCAAAACATTGGAAAAATACAGTAAACAGATATAAACAGTAGTTTGCGAAGGTCTGTAAAGTTTGTTTTGAGATTACATAAATATACCAGTAGTACAGTACCGCACAAGGCGGTGGCGCAAGTTTCATAAATAGGGAACCTATAGGAGAGATTAGTTGTTGTGAATCACGGATGGCAGAGCGAATCCACTGATGGACCGAAAGGTGGTTGGAGCTGTGTTTTTCGGAGTGGCTGCAATGGTTGCAGTGGTCACCGGGTCGGTCGCCTCACCCACAACTGCTGGATGTAGCGTGGTGTAGTGCAGCTGTTGTTGTAGTTGTAGTGTAGTGGAGTTGTAGTTGTGGTGTAGTGTAATTAGTGTAGTGTAATTGCAGTTGCATTTGTGGTGGTGTAACCGAAGGAAGTTTAGAAGTCAAACTTCCGACAATATGGACAGATGAAAAGCAGAGCTCCAGCTTGTCCTCGTCCTCTCTCTTCTCACCTCCGCCTCCCGCATCGCCGCCTACCTACCTTACGAAGACAGAACATGCATATGCTTTAAAATTTAGGAAATTCGCTAAAAACACCCACCACCCCCGCCCCCTCCTCGTCCCCCCCTCCACCAAAACAAACCCACTTTGTTTTTTTCCAATGAGTTGGGGCTCCGGCCGGGGGTTGGCGACATGGTCGAAAGAGGCTCGCTAAAGCGGCGGGGTGCGGAGCCAGCTGGCCAATGAGAGATGAAAATTGCACGCCGTCTTGTCGCAAAAATCCCATTTCCTCCAAGTCAAATGTTTTTTTTTATTTTGTTTTTTTTGTTGTTTTTTTTTTTTTTTTTTTATTTTTGGTTTTTTCTGTACACAGCAAAACAACACCAGGTGCGGACCACTTTTGGAAGTTGAGATGTCGAAAAAGTGCAAGCCGTTGTGGCGCGAAGCACATTTTGAAGTCAAAATGTACAAACCCCCATTCTCGGACCACTTTTGGAAGTTGAGATGTCGAAAAAGTGCACGCCGTTGTGGCGCGAAGCACATTTCCAAGTCAAAATGTACAAAACAAACCATTCTCGGACCACTTTTGGAAGTTGAGATGTCGAAAAAGTGCACGCCGTTGTGGCGCGAAGCACATTTCGAAGTCCAAATGTACAAAACACTAGGGGTTCGGACCACTTTTGGAGGTTCAGATGTCGAAAAAGTGCACGCCGTTGTGGCGCGAAGCACATTTCGAAGTCAAAATGTTAAAAACACCAGGGGTTCGGACCACCCCCTTTTTTTGGAGTTCATATGTCCGCTTCGACCTTACACTACACTACACTACATTACACTACACTACACTACATTCTCCACTTTACACTACATTACACTACACTACACTACATTCCGCCACACTCCACTACACCACACTACATTACACTACACTACATTACACTGAATGACACTGCACCGCAGATAGACAGGTAGACAGATAGATAGATAGATAGATAGGTAATTGAATGAAAGAGAGAGAGAGAGAGAGGCCAGCTGGGTAGATGAGATAGGTAGATAGATAGATAGATAGGTAGATAGGTAGATAGATAGACATATACCCTTGGAATTTCCACTAAAGAATGGGACAACCCGGGTTGTCGCAAAAAACTTTTTTTTTGCTAAAAAGCGGTTGCAATCCACATGGTGAACCCGGACTCCCCATTTTTTGCAAAGGCTTCCTGGGTCAGGATTTTTTAGAGAGGGCATTTTGAGAGGGAATAGACAAGCTGATTGAATTTTTGCAATTTGCTAAAACTGCTGTTCTGCGCCGGCCACTGTTTGCTCACAGATGAATCAAGCAGGTTGCAACCATGACAACAACTTTCATGCATTTTCTAACAAGGACAGATTTATAGTGGTTGACATCCACATGGCCAACATGGACTCCCTATTTTTTAGAGTTCTGCTTTTATATTTGTATTTTTTGTATCTTTTTGTAGTTGGTTGCCTGGGCCATGATTTTTTAGATGGTCTTAAGCCCCCATTGATCCCTGGATATCCCTGGGTTGGCATTCTTTAGATGTGCCATTTCAGTAGTGCAAGGTGGACCGCCGTTTTTTGTCTAAAGAATGCAGGAGTCCATGTTAGCAGGGGAATTCCAACAGGTATGATAGATAGATGGATAGGTAGATAGATAGATAGATAGATGGATGAATAGAAAGATCGATAGATAGATAGATAGGTAGGTAGATAGGTAGATAGGTAGATAGGTAGATAGGTAGATAGGTAGATAGGTAGATAGAAAGACAGAAAGACAGATAGACAGATAGACAGGTAGACACTTAGACACTTAGAGAGAGAGAGATAGAAAGAAAGATAGATAGATGGCTAGACAGATTGATAGATAGATAGATAGATCGATGGATAGATAGATTGATAGATTGAGAGATAGATAGATAGATTGATAGATAGATAGATAGATAGACAGATAGAGAGAGAGAGAGAGAAAGAGAGGAGACCTCAAGCACCTTTCGGTCCATCAGTGGATTCGTTTTGCCATCCCGGATTCGCAACAACCAAGCTCTCCTATAGGTTTCCTACTTTTGAAACTTCCGCCACCGCCTTGTGCGGTACTACTGGTAAGTGTAGTGTAATGAGTGTAGTGTAATGTAACGTAACGTAATGTAATGTAATGTAATGCAATATGGGGTAGGGTAGTGTAGTGTAGTGTAATTGAGTGTTGTGTGGTGTGGTGTGGTGTACTGGTAGTGTGGTGTAGTGTAGTGTAATGCAATTAGTGTAGTTTAGTGTAGCGTAGTGTAGTGTAGTGTAGTGTGTTGTGCAGTGTAGTGTGTTGTGTAGTGTAGTGTGGCGCAATGCAATTAGTGTAGTGTAGTTGTAGCTGTAGTGTAGTGTTATGTAACGTATTCTAGTTGTAGTTGTAATATCCCCCACCCCTTAAAATGTATATTGAGGGGGGGGGAGCCGGGAATTCTCATACATTTCCAGGGCCCCCCCCACCTCTGAAACGGGTATTTTTGTATGAACTAGTTTTTGTAAAATTAAGAGATTACCTAAAGAGGTGGGGAGTGTTCCTCATACATTTTCAGTATTTGGCTTCAAAAGCTTGTTTAGAAAAAGGTGGGGAGGCGGTTTCATACATTGATTTTGCAAGGCCATGGATCTTTGATGCTCATGGAGTTTTCCTGGGGAATCTTACGAAATAGCATGACGCTTTTGACCACCCCCCCCTGAAATCTAAGTTTGCCAAATTATGGGAGGCCACCTACCCCCCCTGTGTTAATACATTAATAATTCCCAAGTTTGGAGGGGGGGGTGCGAAATTTGGAAGGGGGGGGGGCGCAGATGAAGTATCATGAATGTATGCACCTGGGGGGTCAGCAGCAGTTCCATGCCGCACATTCATTATACATGAAGGTTGTCTTGAGAAGCCTAAATGTACTAAATGCAATAGTATGCAGTAGTTGTTTCTGATTCTTATCTATTGTTAGGGTGCCTTTTTCTAACATTTTTTTCAGGATTGCACGGTACCGAAAGGATGTTTTTAGGTTGAGCCTTGGGTTGAAGATGGTTGAAGTGTGTTGATCTAATCCAACCCTGCCCATTCCGTATAGCTCTTTCAACTTCTGTTTTATTTTTATCAAACATTGAGTTCCAAAGTCTTATGGTGTCAGATGCTTTCAACAGTCTTACTCACAGGGTACTGCAGAGATTCACCTTTCTTCACCAGCCCATAGTTCTCAATATCCTCCGACCCCAGCTATCAACTCCCCAACACCAACTGCGGGTTTTCTGTTTGTACCTGCACATCAGTGCAGCCATACATTTCTGGTACTGGGGGTGGGGCACATCCAGGAGAATCCTAGGAGTTCCAGGTGGTTCCAATAGTTTCCAGTAGTAGGGAGAATGGCAACACATGCCAACACAGCCCAGAGCATGGGAATAAAATGTATGAAAGGGGGGGGGACCTGCACACCAGTGCAGCCATACATTTCAGGTACTGGGGGTGGGGCACATCCAGGAGAATCCTAGGAGTTACAGGTGGTTCCAATAGTTTCCAGTAGTAGGGAGAATGGCAACGCATGCCAGCACAGCCCAGAGCAAGGGGGGGGGACCTGCACACCAGTGCAACCATACATTTCAGGTACTCGGGGTGGGGCACATCCAGGAGAACCAGGTGGTTCCAATAGTTTCCAGTAGTAGGGAGAATGGCAACGCATGCCAACACAGCCCAGAGCATGGGAAAAAATGTATGAAAGGGGGGGGGACCTGCACACCAGTGCAGCCATACATTTCAGGTACTGGGGGTGGGGCACATCCAGGAGAATCCTAGGAGTTCCAGGTGGTTCCAATAGTTTCCAGTAGTAGGGAGAATAGCAACGCATGCCAACACAGCCCAGAGCATGGGAATAAAATATATGAAAGGGGGGGGGACCTGCACACCAGTGCAGCCATACATTTCAGGTACTGGGGGTGGGGCACATCCAGGAGAATCCTAGGAGTTCCGGGTGGTTCCAATAGTTTCCAGTAGTCGGGAGAATGGCAACGCATGCCAACACAGCCCAGAGCATGGGAATAAAATGTATGAAAGGGGAGGGGTGACCGGCACACCAGTGGGGCACATCCAGGAGAATCCTAGGAGTTCCAGGTGGTTCCAATAGTTTTTAGTAGTAGGGAGAATGGCAACGCATGCCAACACACCCCAGGGCATGGGAATAAAATGTATGAAAAGGGGGGGGACCTGCACACCAGTGCAGCCATACATTTCAGGTACTGGGGGTGGGGCACATCCAGGAGAATCCTAGGAGTTCCAGGTGGTTCCAATAGTATCCACCAGTATGGAGAATGGCAACGCATGCCAACACAGCCCAGAGCATGGGAATAAAATGTATGAAAGGGGGGGGGGACCTGCACATGCCAACACAGCCCAGAGCATGGGAATAAAATGTATGAAAGGGGGGGACCTGCACACCAGTGCAGCCATACATTTCAGGTACTGGGGGTGGGGCACATCCAGGAGAATCCTAGGAGTTCCAGGTGGTTCCAATAGTATTCATCAGTATGGAGAAGGGCAGCACATGCCAACAGACCCCAGAGCATGGGAATAAAATGTATGAAAGGGGGGGGGAACCTGCACATCAGTGCAGCCATACATTACTGGGAGCAGGGCAGTGTTTTCCAAGATTCTGACAAAGTCCCACGATATCTTACAAGTGTATGAGCCAGAGGGCCCTCCATGCCTATCGAGAACCGTGAAGCGAGGTTCGAATATCGAGGATCGAGAATCAAGAAGCGGGAAGCGAGGATCGAGGATACTGGATCGAGAATTGAGAATCGAGAATGGAGAATTGAGAATCGAGAATCGGGAATCGAGAAGCGAGGATCGAGGATCGAGAATCGAGAATGGGGCTTGTCAAGCCAGGTCGGGAAAATTGATGAGAATGGCAGACAGGTTCAGAACAGAGTGGAAGTTTCAATGTTCAAATACTTCTTGTTGCTTCCAAATGATTCTGCATCTTTCCTTCGAAAATTAAATGCAACAAACTTCAAAGCATCGTGAAAAGAAATTAGCAGCCGTGTGCAGCTGTCCTGTTTTTAAAGCATCGAAATTTCGTGAGTTTGCAATAGTTTGCGGCCTTAGCAAAGAGAACGACTGGAAATTGCTTTGGACCCATTCATTCTGTGGCCAGATATCGAAAGAAATCGTGGAAATCAATCGAAGGAAATCGTCCGCTTTTGAGGTTGAAACAACATAGTCCTCCCTTACTTTCATACATTTCCAGTGATTTACAGAAACCACTTAGTCCCCCCTATATTTTATACATTTGATTTTGTCTCATCTTATCCAGGTTACTGCAGTAAATGAACTGGTCCCCCCTATGTTTCATACATTTTAAGATTTTTAACTTGCAATGAATTAATAGTTCCTAGTAGCAGCTCACCCCCCAGAGGAATACATTTTGGGGGTTTCCCAAGCAGAGGAATACATTTTGGGGGTTTCCCAAGCATTGTTTAAGTGCTGGTGCAGAGCAGGTCCCCCCCATGTCTCATTCAATCAAAAATGATAATGTATAAACCTTCTTGACACCTCTTTTAAGCCTCTTTCCGTCGCCGGGCTTGACCACCTGCTCCCCCCCCCCCGTTCCTACATTCGATGGAAATGTATGAAGGGGAGGGGGGGTGGATACACACGGAAGGCAGGGGGGTGTTGTAATTGTAGTTGTAGTTGTAGGTAGTGTAGTGTAGTGTAGCGTAGCGTAGCGTAGCGTAACGTAGCGTAGCGTAGCGTAGTGTAGTGTAGTGTCGCGTGGTGTAGTGTAGCGTAGTGTAATTTAGTGTATTTTAGTGTAGTGTAGTGGACTGTAGTGTAGTGAGATGTAGTGTAGTGAGATGTAGTGTAGTGAGGTGTCGTATAGTGGGATGGGGTGTAGTGTAGTGTAGTGCAGTGTAGTGTAATGTAATTAGTGTAGTGTAGTTTATGTAGCTGTAGTTGTAGTTAGTGTGATGTAGTGTAATGCAGTGTAGTGTCGTGTAATGTCACTGGTGTAGTGTAATGTAATGTAGTGTAGTTGCAGTTGCAGTTGTAGTTGTAGGTGTAGCGCAGTGTAATTCAGTGTAATTCAGTGTAGTGTAGTGGAGTGTAGTGTAATGTAGTCTAATGTAAATGTAGTATTGTTCTAGTTGTAGTTGTAGTTGTAGTTAGTGCAGTGTAGCGTAGTGGAATGTAGCGTAGCGTAGTGCAGTGTAATGTAGCGTATTGTAATTGAGTGTAGTGTAGTGGAGTGTAGTGGAATGTAGTGTAGTGTAGTGTACTGTAGTGTAAGTGAGTGCAGTGTAGTGTAGAGGAGTGTGGTGTAGTGTAGTGGAATGTAGTGTAGTGTAGTTGTAGTTTAGTGTAGTGTAGTGTAGTGGAATGTAGTGAAGGTGTAGTTGTAGTTGTAGTGTAGTGTATTGGGGTGTAGTGTGGTGCAGTGGTGGTTGTAGTTGAAAATGCTACAAAACCCTCACGTTTTGCTCACTTTTGACCAGGTGCACAATCCCGTGCGCCTGCCACGCGAAACGACATCTGAACGTCCAAAAGTGCTCGGAACCCCTGGTGTTTTTAACATTTTGACTTCGAAATGTGCTTCGCGCCACAATGGCGTGCACTTTTTCGACATCTCAATTTCCAAAAGTGGCCCGAGCATGTGGTGCTTTGTACATTTTGACTTGGAAATGTGCTTGGCGCCACAACTGCGCGCAATTTTTCATCTCTCATTTGGCCAGATGGCTCCGCACCCGCCGCTTTAGCGAGCCTACTTTTCGACCCTCCGGAGCCACAAATCATTGGAAAAACACAGTGATTCGCGACTTTCCTACCTTTTCGCGCACCTGCATCTTCTCTCTTCTGCTCTTCTCTCTTCTGCTCTTCTCTTCTCTCTGACTCTTCCCATCTCTGCTTTCATCTGTCCATATTGTCGGAAGTTTGACTTCTAAACTTCCTTCGATAAATGCATTGCACGACAATGTAGGTGGTGCGCGATCCATGGCTCATGTTTTGGTGCAAGCGCACTGGTGGTCAGTAGGGCTCACAATGACGCGTCCTGCTGATGGGCCGCTGATGCACCAACACAAATGCATGAACGCACTGCTCACCGATAGATACACCAATGCAGATGCATATGCTGCATGATCTAGGGTTTGCTCAGGTTTTGTGAGGGGATGGTTTGATATGGTTTTGAAGCAATAGGCATACCGGCATTGAGATGCTCACTATGTGGATGCCGATTGCAAAAATGCAATTTTTTACTGGTTTCAGCGTAAGGTTTTTCATTGCTCCATGGAAGATTCTTGGGAATGCGTCTTCTGCGTCGAGCAAAATTGCATTGTGGAGTTTGTGATTGTGAAACACACCAGCGTCTTTCACACCCTTCAAGACTTCAAACTGAATCAAACTGATATTTGCTACCCAACATTCCTTGCAGAAGAGCACGCCGCCGACACTGCAGTCCCAAAAAGGCTTGTGAGTACATCCATGTTTGTTATCCTTTCTAGAACCGCAGACTGTTGATACACAAAGAAAACAGTGCGGGCCAGCCAGCGATGTCAGCGTTTGTTTGGTTGCAAGGGGCGACCTTTGATACTCCAGCAAAGTCTTTCTGTTAGAAGACAATAAAAACGTGCAGCTGTTTGTACATCCTACCCTACAGGGTTCTCTCATGTTAGCGTCGGTTTGGAAAGATATGTGGTAGAGTAGCGGGGTTTTCTAACACTAGCGATCCCTCGGGACACGCGCAAATAATCACAAACATGTAGGATTATGTAGGCATGATCAAGCAACTGGTTCATTCGATCACAACTGTCATTGGTTAAATGATTAAACACACAGCTTGGTCAGTGAATTCTTTGTTTTGGCTTGTTGGGAGGTCGTTGTTCGAATTCGTGTTGACCGGTTTATACCAGAATTGCTGGGTGACTTGCTGAGCTTGGCCATTTAGCACGTTCATCACTAGGATCCCCTAGTTGCAAACGACGCATTGACTTCGATAAGTTAAAGCCTTCTGTTGACTTCTAGGTTTGCTGCAACCATGTCGAGATGCTGGTCCAGTGTTTGATTCCATTTAATATATGCATTGTAGATAAAGTGCTCGCTCTCAGTGTTTGCTGCGACAATCAAAAGAATTACAGAACCGCAACCTGTTCTGAGCATTCTCAGGATGGCTTCTAGCCGTTGCGGATTGCAGGCACATGAGAATTGTTGGGAAGTTCGGAAACGAGTTTGGGGTTCTTTTTTTTCACCGCTTGAGCAAGCCTCTCAACCTGTCAGATCTGTCAGGATCTTGATAAACTACGCCAAGAAGTTCGACGTTTGAATGTCCAAGTTGAGATCGCCGAGAGGGAGTGCGGGGAAGAGGCAAGTCTATGGACACATCCATCATTCAGGCTTAGAGCAGCTCATGTTGCAAACAGGATCCAGGCTTTGCCCGAACATTAAATAGACATGCGCTATCATGTGCTCAACATTTGCATTCACTACAAACAAACGACTGTATGAAAAAGAAAGGTACTGTATGTTCTGAAAGTCTTCCTGTACTCGTATCGTACTGTTCCTATTCAGGAGCAGCCAAGAAAAGATTTGAATGGCAATGCGACCAACCCCGAAACTATCCAGAAACATCAGAAGAACGGCAAGAGTTTGAGGAAATGGAAGATACAGCTGGGACATGATGAGACGGTTCCACAGAATTAAAGCGCTAGGACAAAGTGCGTCACAGCGTTTGAGATCCGTGTGCAGCCACAAATGGACATCGTAGTACCTTAGCACACTATGGAAAGACATAAATGTACGAGTCTCCAACGCGGAAACCATTGAGATTTGAGTAATTATTGAGTAATTAGATGCTGACTTGCTTCTACTATCTTCATCTATCTTCTACCACGGTCCGTGTTTTGGTTCTACTGAAAATCGTTCTTCACCGTGAATCCTCACAAGGCCAAGATACTTTGGCACCAGAAGGACACTGAGCTCCCTCGACTGCGGGCCCAACACCCAGTACCTCACAGTCATCAGCTTTATAAAGTACTAATATAAACAAGGCCATAAACAACATAAACAACCAAAGACATCCAAAGACTGCATCGCCTGTCACCGCAAGGCTGCTGAATTAGAAAGGCAACAGCTTGTTGGGAGGCTCGGCCAGGCTGGCAGTCACAACAGACAGTTCCTGATAGAGTTTACTTGTGAAGTTTTGCATCATTTTAAGCAATGCAAGTCACCCTTTACCCGATTTCTTGAGACAGGCGCGGTATGATCGCGACCATCTTGAGAGAAACTACACCCGCATTCTCAATGGATTGCAGGAGCATGAGGCCATGATCCTTCCAGCATCGCCTTCCAAGAAATTTGTAGCCGTCCCATCCGTCCCCATCCGTCCCCATCCGTCCCCATTCCAATCTTATTCTTGCTGCACCATACTTGCTGCATCTAGCTGCATCTTTCATATCTTGCTGCGTTGGTTTGCGTATTCTGCCTTGTCTTAGCTGTCTTGATTTCCTTAGCCCTGGCCCTTTGTTCAAAGGCGCGGATGGAGCTTCAATCGCAGCAGCTTTCAGAGGGATTACTTCTGTGCAGACGTGAGGGAGAGGTCAGTCACTGTCAGCTGCTGTCGAGTGGTCAATTTTCATTGCATCGATGAATGGTGACTTTTTTGATCTTTTTTTGTGTCCGGTTTTTGGCATACTGTGTGACGAGTGTCAAGTGTCCCAAGCATATTATTTGCTTTTGTTTGCATACCTTTTTGTCTACTAAACACTAAACACTTTTGTGATTTATTAGCTTCCTTGTTTATTGGGTCGTTCACTGATTCCTTTGCAGATATTGCAGTTTGCCATCTCTACTCACTGCTCGAGGAGATGGTGGCCACGATGAAGGAGAACGACTGCAGCATAGCTGAAATGCGTTCCTTGTCTGGAAGTTGTGGCGGGAACCGAGGCAGTTTTGATTCAAGTCTTCAATCCTTTCTTTTTTTTGCGTCATGCTGTTGCAAAGGTAGGCGCATTGGTGGGTCCACGTGGGCCCCACCATGGGAGGTTTGGCTGGTTGAGATTGCTCAGATCCTTGCAATTACTCAGACAGACGCACGTGTCTGAGGAAAGGAGAGGTGGGAGACAGAGGCATGGCATAGTGTGGCTAGTTCAGTAAGTGGTCATTATCATTGCGAGACTCAATTGCCGTTTGGCCATCAAGCACAATCAATTCTACTGGAGGCATTCATCGAACATTTGAGCAATCAGGTTGCGAAGCTTGAGGCGACTTGCTGGCAATCCATCACTGCACAAGCGAACATTGGTCCTTTGATGTCCTTTGTTCTTCGCATTCCTTTGCATTTCTTTTCTGCTTGATCTGCTTACATGCCTTGCCTTGGTTCAAGGACGAAAGAAACTCTCTAAAGTCCAGCCTCGGCAACGGCCCTGGCAGATCAGGCGGGGAAGTCAAAGTCTCCGTTCAGATTGATTGGTGCCTGTGGATTGTTTGGTCTAAAGTTTTAATATTTTTTGCTAGTATGGGGATCAGTCATGAAATCAGTCATGAAAAGGTGCAGTACACAGTGCGATAGGCGCCTTGACTGGCATTGATCACGATGTACAGGTAAAGATCTTAGCAAGACCTTAGCCACCGTTCAGTCATGCATGTTCCCCGACTGATCCTGTATCCATGTCATTGCGTATGGACTGGCTCAAGGTGCCACACCACATTATACTGTAATATATTATAATATCATAATGCAACGATCATGCATGTATAATTTGAAATTATGATGCTTCTTTATGACCATGAGCTGAGGTGAGTGTCTTGGCTGTGCTGGATTCACAAGATGCAAGCCTTCTTTCCCGACAAGAGCAGGAGGCACTCAAAGGGGCACTGTAAGAAAAAATGCATGACAAGAGCCAAGAGATCTCAAGGAGCATATTCCATGGTATTCATTCATATTTGTTCAACCCTGAGAATCTCACTGACCAGGTATGCCAAGAGTTGCTTCAAGATGAGGCAGATGCTCAGGCAAGTCGAGCGCAATGGAGTGCACGGGGTGCAAGCATGAGGTGGAACACGGGCTGAACACAAGATTTGTTGTTGCGGCTGTTGCAAATGTTGCAACCTTTGTATCCTTTGGCCACTACAGAAGCGAGGCAGTAGTCGAGGAAATGCATCAACAGGAAGATGCCCTACAAAAGGCCAGGGATGATGACTGGCTCTCATCGTTGTCTTTAGAGTCTAAGGCCGAAACAATGTTCATCCCTTTGAAACATGCTAGCACTGATTCGCGTATACTGTATACTTGATTATACTATATTATACATGCATGTGCTTGGTATCTCTAACTGAAATTTTGTCGTCTAATTTGCGATCTCTTCAGTTTTCTGGCTTGTTGATCTTGCTCATGCAGGTGGAGAGTCGGAACGCTGAACTTCGTTCAGAGGCCGGGCTGACGATTTTGACCCAACCTCTTGAAGCTATGCAAGTCTTGCATCTCGAATTTTGGGCGTTTCCTTCTTGCTCTTGCATTGCAGGTTGAAGCCTGCAAACCCTTGCTTTGAAAGAAGCAGCATCGGAAAAAGGAAGCGAGCTCCAGCAGAGCAAGTGAGCAAGTGTCAGCGCAGAACCCGTGGAAGGGACCGATTTGCCTCGCACTAAAATTAGATGATGGGTTGCTACGTTGCTACTGTATGGGTTGCTCAGGTGGCATGCAGGATAATGATACTACAGATTACACATGCAGTCCCAGCAGTTAGCTGGAAGCCAAGGTATTTGTAGATCTGCGACCGCTCAACTTAGAATCTGAACCACTGTAGTCTTCAGTGTAGATAGTATCAAGATGTATCAAGGGACACTTTAGGTCGTTGAAACCCAAGGTATACGCATGAGAATCAAAGATATCAAAGTCAATGCCAATTGGACAAAGAAAAATGATGAAAAATGCAGCTGAATGCATTTGAGTCTCATTTGAGTGCATAGTGTGACTGTATGTGTCTGTGTCATTCTGTGTCTGTGTGTGTGAAATCTTGGAATGAATATGAATGGTAGGTTGGTGATCGTTGGTGTGGGTTTCGGCAAGGGTGCAGGTGGAAGCTGGGGAGTTAGGGTCTGTCAGCTGTGCGAAGTGAAACCGCATAACTGAAAGTCAAAAGCAGCCATCGTATGCCATCGTTTCATATCATGATTCGTGGCGGATGAAGAGGTTGATCAAGCCCTGCAACATCTGCAACACGCCTCCTTCCAGATCTCCCGCTTTCCGGACGGATCGTTGGAACGTGTTGGAATCCATCACCCAGCATGTGCTCAACTGTCTCTTTTTCATCTACTCACAGATACTGAAATCACTCGTTCTGGTTTTCTGGCCTGGCCTTCCTGACCTTGCTATTTTATGCATTTTTATGCTATTTTGATGTTTTCGGATGGGGAAGCTTGTGTGCCCGGGTCCAAATGCACACGAGTAGGAGTGATAAAAATAGCACCAGGTCCGGCACCAGGTCGCGTTCTTAACAAATTCTTCATAGATGCCTGGACTTGGTTTCAGAACATACACTCCAGCAATGTCGAGGTCTCAAGGCGTCTCAAGGGCTTGTTTTGACGAACCTATTTCAATCTGCTTCAGCCATCGGCAGCGGATTGAAAGCTGTCCTGCCACCTTTGAGAAATCCCGTGGCCGTTCCAGCATCAAAGTGCTTTCACAGATTTTCCGAGGAGCTCTACACAGATTTAAGGCACATGTGGTATCACTTGGTCAGGTGATGGCCAGGTGGTACTTATGTGGCACTCATGTGATCCCATGTGCATCTGCAAGCTGCTCAAGCATTTGTCATCGAACAGGCATCAACTGTGCACAGGTCATGGCGGTTGCATCTGTCCGCAGAAGTAAGCTGTTGACCGTGGCTCTTTTTGTGGCTGGAGGCGCCAGCACGCACAGCCAAATCAGTTCCATGTCCTTCGGAGCTCCAAAGTGCAAGGACAATGAACTGCACCAATTAGCGGAATTGATGATAACACATGATAACACATGATACACATATGTAATCAATTGATATCAAGTGCGATCATATATGCATGATAGTCTCCATACCCAAGACCCCAGGCACTGAAGACAATTTGATTTCTTGAAAGAAACACGTGGTTTGTAGGTGCTTGTGTCGATTTGGTCCGAACATGGGGCAAGCGATAAGCCCTGAGATTGAAAGTGCAAAGCAGTAAGCTTGCCGTTCGCAATTACCCACGGTGAACCTCATGGAAATGTGGACTGATGATCATTTTGCATAGTTGCACCATGTTGCACCAACTATGACCACCCCATAAATCAAAGTCACAAAAAGTTGAACATGAAGTGAAGGCGTGAAGGCCATGCAGTTCGCTTCAACTCCATTAGCTAAACTCAGCAGTGGTTCTGGAAGGGGGAACGCTTACGGAACCTGCTGAATTGGCCAGAAATGGCAATGAACTATCAATATAATCTGCTGTGGAAGCAAGTATGGAAGCAAGTATGAACATCTATGAACTACGGAACCACCAGGGTCTTTCCTGCAGGTGGTTCAGTGGACTGACGCAAGCATTCTTTGCTAAGACTGTTTTCTGATAAGCTTGAATGGTTCGAACGGTTTGAATGGTTTGAATGGCTTCAATGAAACGCAGGTTTCTTGGCATACAACTGCTTTGTGCCCCCTGAAGTGTCGGGAACTGAGCCGCAGTTCTTTTCTGATGTAAAGCCTTCCAACGAATGTCTTGCTTGTTGTATCTCATTGTATCTTTTTGATTCCTATTGTATCTCTTTGAATTCTTATTGAATTATTATTGTGTAAGATATGTCACGCGTCAATGTTAGAGCAGATTGTGCAAAGATATGCTCGGATGTGTTTAAGATCATTTATAATAATATCTAAACATACTTCGAACCGTGATCTTGCGGCATCTCGAGGAAGTAAAAAGAGTAGTTGCTTGTTCACGTAATGCTACTCCGATCTACTTACCTGGTCTTGGCACAAACTGTTCATCAAGCTGTACTCAACAAGCCATGAGAATCTGATCTCCTGCGAGAGCTTGCCAGAGGCAACGCCCATCTAGCCACGCTCGCGATGCCCCAAATGTCGGGACCAGGACAGCGCATCGCAGTCCAAGGTTCATTCACTTAGCCATGAAGTCCGTTTAGGATGCTGAAAGGATGTGAAACAGGCACCCAAGGGCTCCGAGGTTTCTGCTAGTAGGTAAGTTCAGATAAATTCAGATATATAAGTTCAGCACTTGCAAGTCCACAACCCACAGCGGACTTGGCTCAGTAGTAACGTTCGTATTTAACCATCTGCGGAGGGTAATGTCGACGATTCTTAGCATCTTCCAAGTAAGTTGCTGGAACGGATGCGCAGAGAAGATGGTAGGATTGTTCTTTCTGTTGGTTGAATTTGAGATGAACGACAGAAGAATGCTACCATAGCGGTGAATAGCGTGACAAGCACTGGCTGAAAGGAAGGCTGACTCCGATTTGGATGGAGCGCCAGCCTTGGGCCTAATTTGCCATGTCTCGCTTCAAACAAACATGTGTCTCCGATGTTTAAGGAAAACGGTTCCAGAATGTTGCAGACATCGACTGCTGCTCAAGCTTGGTCAGCTTGAAGCTATTTGCAGTGCTGAGTCTGAGGCATTTTCTTCAGCTATTGTGGCACCACTATTAGCAAGTGCTTGGTGCTTGGGAGGGTCAGACAGTGCCTTCTCATCCCAAAATCGCACTGCCACTGGAACTCGTATGTTGCAAATGCTTCTAGCTCATTTGCGTCGAGAATGCCTTGTAGATTGTAGATCCTGTCGATACAGATTTTGAACACGGAATACTTCATGAGGAAAGAATGCAGCTCATGCTTCTTGGAGGCTTACAAATATCTTGACGGCCAACCGCGGATCATATTTCCAAGTCCATTTTGCGACCGCGAAACACAGCTCATTATGCCCAGTAGGATTCTATGGCCATAGGGCGTTCATAATTAATGGTAAGCTCAAAGCGCATAGAACAACAACTTTTGTTCTATCATATTGTATTCACATGTTAAGAGGCGAGACCCAATCTGTTTATTGCAAGTGTTTTTTCCCCAAGAGCGTAAGCTTGGAGCCATATTAAAGGTCCCGGAGCAGGTCGGGGGGCAGCCAAATCCGCACCGCGCAAGGTTGGGAACCAGGTTCCCAGGAAGGGGTCTCCTTTTCCAAGAGAATCCCCAAGCAAGGGTTCCCAGGTTCCCAGGAACAGGTTCCCAAGCAAGGTTCCCAGGAACAGGTTCCCAGGCAAGGTTCCCAAGAGGTTCCCCCAAGCAAGGTTCCCAGGAAGAGGTTCCCAAGCAAGGGTTCCCAGGGAGAGGTTCCCAAGCAAGGTTCCTAGCAAGAGGTTCCCAAGCAAGGTTCCCAGGCAAGGTTACCAGGAACAGATTCCCAAGCAAGGGTTCCCAGCAAGAGGTTCCCAAGCAGGGTTCCCAGGAAGAGGTTCCCAGGAACAGGTTTTGCAAGCACGGATTTCAGGAACCGTTTTCAGGGTTTCCAGGAACCGTTTCCCAAGCAAGATTTCCAGGAACATGTTTTTCCAAGCAAAACAATGTTCCCAGAACAGGTTTTCAAACAAGTGTTTCCAGAAGAGGTTTCCAGGAAGAGGTGTCAAAGCAAGGTTCCCAGCAAGCTGGTTCCCAAGCAAGGTTTTCAGGAAGAGGTTCCCAAGCAAGGTTCCCAGCCACAGGTTCCCAGGAACAGGTGCCCATACAAGGTTCCCAAGAACAGGTTCACAAGTAAGGTTCCCAAATGTTCCCAAGCATGTTCCCAAGCAAGGCTCCCAGGAAGAGGTTCCCAAGCAAGGTTCCCAGCAACAGGTTCCCAGGAACAGGTTCCCAGGAACAGGTTCCCAGGAACAGGTTCCCAAACAAGTTTCCCAAGAACAGGCTCACAAGTAAGGTTCCCGGAATAAGTTCCCAAGGAATGTTTCCAGGAAAAGGTTCCCAAGCAAGGTTCCCAGGAACAGCTCCTCAAGCAAGGTTGCTAGGAAGAGGTTCTCAAGCAAGGTTCCCAGGAAGAGGTTCGCAAGCAAGGGTTCCCAGTTGTTCCTGGAAATTTTGCTTGGGAACCAGCTCTTCTTGGGAACGGTTGCTTGAGAACCTGTTCCTGCGAGCCTTTGTTCCTGCTTGGAACCTTGCTTGGAAACGGCTGCTGGGACCTTGCTTGGGAACCGTTTTTGGGAACCGTACTTGCATGTACTTGCAAGCGGCTCCTAAGAATTTAACCTTGCTTGGGAACCTCTTCCTGGATACCTGCTTGGGAGCCTCTTCCTGGGAACTTGCTTGGGAAAATTTTTCCCCAACAGCGTCTTCAGCCACCCAGGAAAAAGATTTCCAATCAAATTTTCCAGGAACAGGTTCGCAAGCACGGTTACCAGGAACGATTCCCAGCCAGGTTCCCAAGAACAGGTTCCCAAGAACAGGTTCCCAGGCAAGGTTCCCAAGCAAGGGTTCCAGAAACAGTTGCCATGCAAGGTTCCCAGGAACAGGTTCCCAAGCAAGGTTCCCAGGAACAGGTTTCCAAG